ATGATGATCAATGTCGGAAACGAGCTTTTGCGGCAATTTCCGCTGCCCATAAACAAACACTTTTCCCTAACTCAAACTTCTCAACCTCCAAAACAACAACACTTTCACAGCAGCTGAGAATCATCGCTTCAGCATGAACAGCATCGACACCCAAACTCCACTGCTTCGCTTTTTCATCACCTACTACAGCTTCATTGGCACCCAGTACTCGCTGCCCTCCGACTGGACCAACCTGGGCAGCCTGCTGCGTCTGCTGTGGAACAGCACCATCACCTCGGTGGTTATCTACGGCCTCATCTGGCACGACCCCTTCCGCATGTTGGTCGTCTTTCAGCTGCCCTGTGTGGACAATCCCCTCTACCAGCGGCCACTGTTCAGCACCTTCGCCAGTGTCAGCTTCAGCTACGCCTACCCGTTCGTCTACCTGCTGTATCCTCTCTTCGGCATGTTCTACGGACGGCGGATTCTCCGCCAGCTCGATTGCGTTCACTTTCGCCGCTTTTACCACAGCAAAAAACAGGCGGTGGTGCTTTTTTCGGCCGTCCTCGGCGTCAGCCACCTTTCACTGGTGACAGTGCTGCTGGAGCGGCACCAGATTCACCGCCGGCCACTGGACCACTGGCCGACGACCACCGAGCTCATTGAGCTGACGGCTCTCTACGTCGTCTTTCAGTACATCTTCTGGCTGCTGCACCTCCTCCACTACTACCAGTGGGCCACCTATCGAATACTGCTCGGCTTGAAGGAGAAGGCACGGAAGAAGACGATCACCGAGGCTGAAGTGCTAGCCACCGTTCGCTCGCTGGCCACCGTCAATGCCGCCCTCAATCGACTGCTTTCTCCGCTGATCATCATTTACGTTCTCTTCCTCGTCTTTAACTTCATCTTCATCGCCTGTCTGATGACGATGTGCACACCGGGAATTCGTAACTACATGCACCTCTTCACCCTCACCGTCTACGCCTACTACATCTCACTGCTGAATGGAGCTGTTCAGAGGACGGTGGCGGAGATTCTGGCCAGACTGCTGACCGGTCTTGCCAAAGAAAAGTGTCAAATTGTTTTAAAGAGGAAAGACAAAAAGCCAGAAGTAGAACATCTTCTATTGCAAAGGGTCGACAGCCGTCGAGTGGACGTCCTCGAGTGTGACCGCCTCTACCGAGGCCACTTTTCCGTTCACGTTTACCAAATGACTGTTGTTGATATTCGCNGTCAAATTGTTTTAAAGAGGAAAGACAAAAAGCCAGAAGTAGAACATCTTCTATTGCAAAGGGTCGACAGCCGTCGAGTGGACGTCCTCGAGTGTGACCGCCTCTACCGAGGCCACTTTTCCGTTCACGTTTACCAAATGACTGTTGTTGATATTCGCTTTCTCTTCAGCACCGCTCTCTTTATAGTCGCCTACTCTGTCTTTATTATGCAGACTTCTCATTAGCTTTAATCATCAACATCAGTACAAGTAAACATCGTGTAAATTACTAAATGAAATCTCCCAGTTCTCTGTCATGGTGACAAAATGACAAAAACACTTTTTGCTTTTTCTTTTGGCCAAGGGCAAAGTTTATCTAGCAGCACAAGTATTTATCTCGTAAAAAATCAAATTATTGTAAATGTCACTTCTACCAAACTAAAACATTTAAAAATTAAAGAACTTTTTATTTGCACATTTACCTGAAGCAGCTTGAGTCAGTAACAACTAATCGAAAAAATGCGTCGACAAATTATATTTTTGGTTGTGCTTACTGCAGTCAATTTTGGCACAGCATCTAGGGCTAGTCAAAATCGCTTGTTGCAAATTGCCCGTGCTAATGACGACTTTGGTTACCAGTTGCTGCATCAACTTGAGTTGAAAGAACGCTCAAATCGAGGTGCCAATGGTGACCCTGAAAATCTGTTTATTTCTCCCTTCAGCATTAGCACCGTCTTAACGATGGTTTTGGCCGGTGCCAATGAAGACACTTTTGAGCAGATCAAAAGTACACTTGGGTAAGAATTCAAAAATAGTTAAATTTTTATTTACTACATTTTACCTTTTCAGATTCAATACCGACATGACTGAGAGTCAGCTGTACACTTCTTTCAGAATTCTCCTCCGCCAGCTAAACAATTTTTCCAGCAATGCAAATAACACCCTAGAGCTGGCTAATGCAATTGCACTGCAAAGCGAGTACTCTCTTCTGCCCACCTATTTGCACATCGTAAAGAACCGCTTAAAAGCTGAAATTTTTTCAGTCAACTTTCAAGTAAAAGGCAAGCAAGCAGCTGAGAAAATTAATCAATGGGTTAATAGGAAGACCAGGGGAAAAATCGATACAATTTTAAAAGGAAATCCAACAGCCGACACCCGAATGGTACTTCTCAATGCACTGTACTTTAAAGGCACTTGGGAACATTCTTTTAGAAAAGATAAGACAAAGGATATGGCGTTCAATTTTTTTCAAAGATAAAGAGGTCAAAGTTCCAATGATGAATCAAGCTTTTGAAAAGCTCAAGTACGCTCGCTTTAATGAAGGTGAGCTGGTAGAACTGCCGTACAGTGGAAACACCTTGAGCATGTTGCTCTTTCTCCCAGCCGATACTTCAACTAATTCTTCGTCAATCAATGACACCATCAGCTCAACGTTCGCTCAAGCAGCTCTCAGGAAACAGCAAGAAAGCCTAGAATACAAAAATAGAGTTAATCTAATGCTGCCTCGTTTTAACATCAGCTCTTCCTATAGCTTGAAGCCTGCCCTTCAGTCAATGGGTATTGAGGCGGCATTTGACCCAGACAGCGCCGATTTCGGTCGAATGACGAATCAAAAGGATTTAATGGTCGCTGAGGTCTTGCACAAAGCGGTCGTGGAGGTCAATGAACAAGGAACTGAAGCTGCAGCGGTCAGTGCAATGAGGGTGCGTACTAGAAGTCGAAGAAATGTCGTCTACTTCAATCGACCCTTTCTCTTCGCCATCCGCTACAATCGTCTGCAGTTGACACTGTTTGCTGGCATCGTCAACAAGCCTTAAGATGTTTAACTGTGTTAAACCCTAACCTCATCTTTGGACCTACTCTGCCAAATGATTCCGCAGCTACTTGGCAAGCAAGGCGCTCAATACTCATTTGTTTTATGTTTTCACTTAAAAATGTGTTTCCGTTTACTCCAAATTGATGTCAAGAGTTTGTAATAAATTTTAGCTTTCTTTGTGAATCATCCGCATCTTTCTTTTTGTTGTTGCATACTCTCTCTTTATTATGCCGACTTCTCAATAGCTGTTGTCATCAGGTAAAGTGCAGGTAAACATCACGCAAATTAATTAATAAGATCGCTCAGTTTGCTGCCATGGTGACAAAGCAGAGAAAACATTTTTTCTTTTTCTTGGTATTCTATCATAATAACTCCAAGTACCGAAAAGGCAGCAAAATGCTTAACCACATTCACACACCTCTTTTAAAGCTCTTTTCAGTGCAATTTGGTAAGTGAAGAAACAACATGTAGAAGTTGTTTTTAATAATTTTTTATCACTATAAGGACTTAACGGCATCCAAGTCACGCCCATTAACCTTCACCAGCCAAAAAGCATTCTGATTCTTTGTTGGAACATTTTATACAGCGCTGCCGCTTTTTGGGGCGTTTTGAAGCTGAATCTAGTTGACTCGGACTCTGTAATCACCGGCTGTGCATCCAACTCAAGGACACTTTTTGGCTTTTTAATTGAGCATTCGCAAAAGTACAGCGCATATGCTCAACTAATTCAAATGTCCTACTTTCTAGTCTATGGACGGAAACTACTGGCAGTTTTTGACAGTAAACAGTTTCGGACAGTCTACCACAGCAAACGAAAAGCCTTGATCATTTTCAGTGTAAACTTTGCACTAAATCACCTCTTTTTGGGCGTGGCACTGCTCGAAACAGCTCGTTGGGACATTTGGCTGAAACGGAGCGCCTGGGACCGCTTCTCCGCCTCCATTGGCTTCTACTCCATGTTCACCTACACCTTCTGGCTGTACAATTTACTGCACTACAGTCAGTTTGGCATCCACCGGTACTTGCGGCACCTGGAAGCAAGTTTACTAGGGCGAAAGACGTCCTCTCGAAAAACTGTGGCTCAGCTGCAAAGTCTAGCACTGGTGAGCAGGCAGATAAACGCCTTCCTATCGCTGCCTTTCATCCTCTTCACCTCAGTGACCGTCTTTCTGCTCATTCTCGCCGGCAGCACCTCCATTATTTGCATTCCTCGTGTGCAGGTGCTCCTCTTCTCAGCGGTGAACGCCGCTTACCTCATCTACCTAATACGACTAAATCAGCAGAGTAGACAAACGCTGGGCCGCTTCTTTGTGCACATTAACCAGCGACTGAACACTAAAGAGAAGGCTTTGCTTTCTCAACTACAGAACAAAAGTTCCGATCTGAAAAAACACCATCTTCTGCTGAAACGCAAATTCTTTTCTCGCCAGCGATGTTTTCGCTGCCACTTTACACAGAGGCTGCAGTCAGTGAGCAGTCGGCGAGTGGAGTTGACCGAGTGTGAGAAGCTGTACAGCGCCTACCTGGACATTCGCATCTTCCAAATGAGCGTCCTCAACAGTGGCACTCTCTGGCAGGCGGTGCTCTTCATCCTGTCGTACATTATGTTTTTCTCGCAGACTGTTGACAGCATGGACAAGTATGGCAATTGAATAGCACTAGTTGGATAATTACACTGATCAATATGACGCAAATGTAGCGTAAACATGGCTCAAATTAATTAAAGGTCTCACCTAAGAAAAATAAGCAGAGAAAAGTCTATTTTACTTTTGTGTTTACGAGTAAATTAAAGACTACGACTTTTACTTTAGAAAAAGTATGTTTTCTCACATTCAAACACCCCTTCTGAAATTTTTTTCTGTACAATATGGTAATTGACAATAAAATTTTCATTAAAAAGTGATCTAATTTTTTTCTAACAACTTTCCAAGGTTTTCTCGGCGTCCAGCTTGCGCCCATTTGTTTTCACAAGCTATCAAATCTGCTTCTTCTTCTCTGGAACCTTCTCTACACCATTTCCGCTTTTTGGGGAGTGTAGACGCTTAATCTTGTCAAAACTGAGACAGTGACGGTTGGTTGCGGCTCTAGCGGCTCAAAGTCACTCTTTGGCTTTCTAGTTGGTCACTCTCAAAAACTACATGCGTTCATTCACGTAGCTCAAATGTTCTACTTTCTGGTGAACGGACGAAAGCTGGTCGCTCTCTTTGATAATGAACATTTTCAGTTCGTTTACCGTAGTAAGCAAAAGGCAGTGATCATTTTCTGCCTCAACTTTGCCCTCAACCACCTCTTTCTAGCTGGGGCACTCTCTCAGGTGGTTCACTTGGACATTTGGCTGGGGCAAAACGTCTGGGAGCAGTTTTGCACTATAACCGGCTATTACTCAACTTTTTCCTACACATTTTGGCTGTACAATTTGATGCACTACTGCCAATCGGGAATCAATCAATACCTGACGCATCTCGAGAGCTTTCATCTCAACCGCAAGACTTCTTATCGTCAAATTCTGGCCCAACTGCAAAGTTTAGCACTGGTCAGCAAACAAATTAACTCCCTCCTCTCACTTCCGTTTCTCCTCTACTCCTCAATGACCATCTTTTCGTTCATACTCTTTGGCAGCACTGCTCTCATCTGCTCTCTTCGCCTGCAGTTACTGGCCTTCTCCTTCATTCACATGGCCTACCTGCTTTACCTGTCTAGCTTAAACCGAAAAAGTGGACAAATTCTGCACCGCATATTTGAGCACATTCTCATTAGAATGGACGTCAAACAGGTGGCCCTACTTCGCCAGTGCCAATCACCACTTGAGATACCTAACAGTGAGCAGTGTCATAATAATAATCATCGTGACAAGATCCAAAAGAGGTTGCAGAGTTTGGTCAGTCGACGTGTGAAGCTGACCGAGTGTGAAACGCTGTACAGCAGCTACATCGACATTTGCATCTTCCAGATAAGCGTTCTCAACAATGGCACACTTTGGGAAGCGGTGCTCTTCATCTTCCTCTACATTATACTCTTCTCACAAACTGTAGACAAAATTGAAGAATGAGAACTGACTGAATAGTAAACGAATAGATAGATAAATTACCTTTTGCACCGAAACAATGTAAACATCAGACAGGTTAATTAATTAAAGATTCCAGTGCCTGAATCGGCTGTCATTGTGTTAGCGCAAGTGAGCACAAAAGTTTCAAACAATTTCTTGTTGTTAAAGTACTAAACAAGTGAGCAAAAATGTTCGCCCACATTCGCACCCCTTTGCTGAGATTCTTCTGCATGCATTCTGGTAAGACACACTGATTACTTGGTCAATTTTAGAACTATTTTCCCTCAGGTTTCTGTGGCATCCAACTGACGCCCATTCGACTGCATCAGCCAGCGAGCATCCTCCTCCTTCTCTGGAACATTCTCTACAACATTTCCACCTTCTGGGGCGTTTCAGAGTTGAAACTAATCAACGCCGACTCGGTGATAGCTGGCTGCACGCCAAACTCAAGAACGCTTTTCGGCTTTCTAATTCATCACTCTCAAAAGCTAAGCTCCTATTCTCAGATGTTCATAATAGTCTACTTTCTAGTGTACGGTCGAAAGCTGGTGGCCGCCTTTGACAGCGAGCAGTTTCAGTTTGTCTACCGAAGCAGGCGAATGTCACTGATCATCTTCTGCACAAACTTTGCCTTCAACCACCTCTCCATGGGCGCATTCCTCTCTCAGGCAGCGCAAAAAGACGCTTTTCTGGAACGAAATCTGTGGGAGCGGTTTTGTACCGTCACCGGCTACTACACCATGTTCTCCTACACCTTCTGGCTGTACAACATTATACACTACTGTCAATTCGCCTTTAGTCGATATCTGGTGCACCTCGAGAAGAGTTTTCTCCATCGAAAGACGTCTTCCCGACAAACACTCGCTCAAGTGCAAAGCCTAGCGCTGATCAGCAAGCAAATCAACGTTCTGCTCTCCTTTCCCTTTCTCTTCTACGTCTCCTTGACCGCCTACTCAATCGTCCTCACCTTGAGCACCTCTATCATCTGCACACCTCGAATACCCATACTCTTCTTCACCGCCGTCACCATCCTCTACATGGTCTTCATTGTGCTGCTCAACCGGAGGAACGGTCAGGCGGTGGGTCGCCTGTTTGGCCATTTACACCGCCGAATAAACGTCAAGGAGAGGGCCCTACTGTACCGTTTTAAGCAACAGAGAAACAAAAGTTTAGTTTATAGCAGGAAGCACCTTCTGCTGAAACGCAAATTCCTCTCCCGCCAGCGATGTCTTCGTTGCCACTTTACACAGAAGTTGCAATCAGTGAGCAGTCGGCGAGTGGAGTTGACCGAGTGTGAGACGCTGTACAGCGCCTACCTGGACATTCGCATCTTCCAAATGAGTGTCCTCAACAGTGGCACTCTCTGGCAGGCGGTGCTCTTCATCCTCCTCTACGTGATCCTCTTCTCGCAGACGGTGAATGAGATGGATGCCTAGGAGGAGGAGGAGAAAGCTAAAATTACTTTTCCAAACAAAACAACAACAAAAACATGTCAACCGATAGGGCAAAGACGTCACCATCGTCGTTACTGTTTACCCAAAACACTAATTAGCACAACACCAAGATCCTAAACACCAATAAAAACAGGTTGGCTTCATTCTCTGGGAAAGATGCAGCGAAGATGGAAGAACAGGCCATCGTCACGCCAATACTGCGCCTCTACGTCGCCTACTACCGCTGTCTGGGCCTACACCTATTTGAGCTGCACTGGGACCGCCTGTCCACCTCAGTGTTGCTCAACCTCGCCTGGAACCTGGCCCTGAACGGCCTGGTCGCCTATCGAATGCACTACCTCGATCCCTTTCGGCTGGGCCACATTGTGGGCATGTGCGACAGCTTCA